CTCTCTCTCTCTCTCTCTCTCTCTCTCTGTGTCTCCCTCCCTCCCTCCCTCTCTCTCTCACTCATTCTCCCTCACTCCTCTCTTCCCCTTTCATATCTGAAACAGATATCCTTTGCCTTTTTTCGACCCCATTGGCAGGAGATGTAGATGACTTCTTATCAATATAAGCCCAACATCTTGACCTTATCGTCTTTTGGAATAAAAAATATAATTTACCAACAAGAGAACCATGCAACAGCGTCCTTGGGGTGGCACATCTCAGCATTGTTACAAAGAAATCTGAACTCGGAAGCCACATTAAATACACGCTAACTAGAGCTGGGCAATGAGTCGCTTCAGCAAAATCCGGATAATATTTTAGTGCCCCTCTTTGGCTAATAATATGATATGAACCGCTTCGGCAAATTGGTTAGAACCACTTCGACAAACGGGTTGTCATTACTTCAACAAATGGGTGCACCCACTTCCGCAAACGTGTCAGGGAAGAGAGTTAAGAGTCTGAATTCGGATAATGTTTCATTGAGAATGTTTCGGTTTTCCTTATGGATTATCCAGATTTTGCCCACCTCTAACGCTAACCTCGACCCCCACAACTTAAAAAAGCCTTATGTACAAAACGTTTAGTGTGGTTAGAGAGTGCTCTGATGAGGTTTGCTTCTTTTTTTTTCTACTATCAAACATCCATCATCCTTATTTCTCCACTTTCTTTTTTGTATTTTTTACTCTCTAGTAATGCCTCTAATCTTTGGCACTTATATTAAACGAGCTGAGTACCCCGTTCGATGAACGGACTCAAAAGAATCGATCGTCAAGTCATTGTGGAACCAATGTGCATTGTTTGTGAATAGAAGCCTCATTTGTTTACAATGGCATCTTAGAAGACAGACTTTACCAAGATTAGATCTAAACGAAACTAATGGAAAAACTGAAAATTAAACTACAGTGACTGCCGACTCCCTATTATAAATATGCACTCTTTCAATGATTATGAACCACCATTAATTTTGTCAAATTCGAAAGTTAACTGGTTCGGAAGTTTTAGGCTGCCAAAGTGACGAACATTCACAAATATATATATATGTATAGATGACCGCATTGTGTTGCAAGTGCCATAAAACGTTTACTAAAACTAGAAACTCATGACGTTATGACGACCCAAATGTGACCCCACTGTGAGTGGAGACCTCGGGGGGTGCGCACTGTCACATCGGAGCACCTGCCAACCACCCAGATTAATCGGTCTAGGTGTCCCAATTAGAACACACGGCATTGACTTGGGATGAGAGTTTCATCATTTTGCTATGCTGTGTCTGGTGTGGAAATCAAAATATCTCATGTGGGACTGTCCCCCCAAAAAGGTGTTAATTGTCAGAGGTAGGAAAAAAGGTCATAATTAACACGACTTTGTGAGTTACAAACTCCCTCTGCTCGCCCAGTACACCCTGTTATGTTAAAGTATGACTATTATAAATAATTCATTGTCTAGATCCTATTTTTAAAAAACAACAACTGAGTATCAATTAGTAAACCTGGACGCGGCTAGATAAATTCTACATCTGTGCAAAGGGGGGGGGG